ATATTTAATAAAATAATCTAAAATTAATTTTATTAAAAATATTTTAATAAATTTATTAAATAAAATATATTTTTAATATACAATACAAACTGCATTGTATAAATTACATAAAAATATTAAATCACCCTAAAGAATTCAAGGGAAAAAGTTTCTTCCTTCACCAACCACGGCCTTAATTCTTGACTTTTTTAAAGTAAAGTTCAAATTTTTTATTTTATAATTTAGTTAAAGTTCTTGACCAAAGACGCTCACAATGTTTTTTCTTTTTTTTTTTCCATTAAGTGCATGTACTTTTATAAGGTGTCCACATCAATAACTCGGTGCATGTGGTCACTTGTAAGCCTAAGTGGGTAGTGAGTTCCCACTGGGCACATTGGACCGACATGGATTGGTCACTAGTTTGGTAAAAGTACTTACATTTTCATGTGTCATAAAGTTCCGTCCGTACATTTTCAGTTCACTATACGATTGAATGCCGCCTGGCTGGTCTTACAATTCATCGTTGGCTCTTGGACGATATTGTACAAAATTTTTTTAATATATAATCATGTTTGAAACCAAAATATTAATAATTAAAATATTTGTTTAATATGTGTTTTAAAAATAATTTTTTTTAATTTAATTAAAAGATATATATTTAGTATTATAGGACTTTAAATTAAATTAAGTAAATATTAACAAAATTAAACTCTTATTAATCTAATATACTATTAAAAGTGTGATGTATTATAATATGTGCATAAAAAGATAAAAAGTAACGCTCTCATTTAACGTAATTAATAATTACTTTTATAACTAAATAATTTATAATCACTTAATATCACAGTTGAAAGAGAGGAAGACTTCAAAATGCAGATTTCATCTAGGATCTCAAAGTACAATTCGGATAATGCAGAGATTAAACTTCCACGTAAACTCAGACCCAAATCACGGGTGTGTCCTGGCCTTCGGGCCAAATAGCTTCTTCCTATATTATGGTGCACTTTTTCTCTTCTTTAACAAGTCGAGTCGAAGCCCGCTCTTGACAAATTGTTCAAAAACAAAAATCACAGGTGTGTCAATTGCGGGGCCGTTCATCAACGTCCGCGTAAACTCTGTTTAGGTCATCTCCCCCCACACCAACACATTTACATAATCAACCAAAGCCCAAAGGTTTGACATCATAAAGTGGGGAAGCTCTCGCAGGACTTGCTTTTCCATTCTTTACTTGCTTACCGCTGGTATTGGACCTAAGTAGATTAAACTTTTGTTTGAAAGTGTTATGATGTATTGCGTTGCACAATAATTATAAATTTAATTTCTTATTTAAGATTGCATAAAATATTAATTAAAACTAATAAAATTATATTAAAAA